GGCGCGGGCGAGCGGGGGAAGTATTTATTTATTTATTCCTAACAGCCAGTGCAAAAAGGGGGATGGTGCCGGGCCCAGAGGACCCCAGGAGCCCAGAGCAGCGGGAGAGGGTCCTTGCTGGCCCTGGCCAGTCTGGTTGGTACTTGCTTGTCTGCCGAGCGAGCGAGTGGGGAGCCCAGACTCAGACCCCTTCTCTCCTCCTCCCCTGAAGCACAAAGGAACTGGGGCAGGGAGCGAACCAGGCCATCGGAATTGGGAGATGTTTGGGGGCCAAAGATGGGGGCATACTATCCTACAGTCTGGGTCAGTAGTGCCTTGTGGGGTGTCCAGGGAAACTCCCCCCCCCAGGGTGGGATACCCTGTCACACCAGGGTGGGATACCCTGTCCCACGAAGCCCTCTCCTCAGCTTTACTTGCTCCCCTACCCTTAGCCTTGGGGAGAAATGGCCCATGGTCATCCCCTCCCATTCCAGGCCACAGTCTCAGTGAACCAGTGGGCCCCTAGGGGTCATAAGGTGCTGGTCCCCTACCCGGCCTTCACCCCTAAGGGCTTGGCCCCTCCCAGGGGTCTGTTAACTAAGTGGGGTCCAGCCGGGCAGGGGTCCTAGGTTCTGTGCCCCTTGGGGGACGGGAATGGGCATGTTCAGGTGGGGTGGGGGCAGCGCAGACTGTTCCACTGTTTTGCATACTGTTGGCTTCTGAACCACAAACTGTATAAAATTGACGGTTTTTGCATCTGTGTCAGCGTGGTGATTGCCTGAGGGGGAGGATTGGGTTCGGGCAAGCTCTGACTTCGCGGTGCATCCCCCTTCCACACACACGATCACACACACTGTATCTTACATCTCATTTTCTTGCAGCCCGAAGCCAGGGAAATAGTCTGGGAGATGCTAACTTACGTGTACAGGCCTGAACTAAAGGCCTCACACCCTCTTTAGAACCTGGGTCTCTGGCTTAAGCCTCTTGAGCTGCCCTCCTTGAATACCCACAACAGGTGGGTATTTGGGATCAGCCAAGGCTGGTCCAAAGTCCGTAACTATCCCTGTAGAAAATAGTATGCTTGGCACTCCTCTCTCCCTGGCAACTGAGGACTCCCTTGAGGGGCAAAGGCCAAATGGGCAGGGAACTTTAGCCTCCCTCCAGTCAGCAGTAATGGGCCCAGCACTGACCAGCCCACCTTCCTCAGTGGTTTCCCAGTGCCCCTGAATCATCGGTACCTGACCCCTGCTGGCCTCCTCTGCTTGTCTCCCCAGGTCACTCCCTGCTCCAGCCACTGGCTACTGGCTGGCTGTGCCTGGTACACTTCATGTGCCCTCTATTTGGGGTCTGCATTTGCTATTCCCACGGTTGGCTCCTGCACTCAGCTCAGCCTTCCAAGCCCTTTCCATCCAGTTGCAAATGTAGTCACGCCCTCCTCTGTGACAGAGCCCTGTTGCATTTCCATCAAGCTATGTGTCACCATCAGAGATTGTCTTGGCTTTGACAGGTTTTCTTCCTCGCACTTCCCACCAGTCGGGGTGCAGGCTCCTTGCAGCAAGGCCCAGGGACCTCCCTGTCTTGCTCTCTGCTTTCCCCTCACCCTGGACTGGTACACAGGAGGCCCTCAAGACAGCGGGTACCAAAACATCTCCAGGACTTGGGGTCACCTTATTAGGGGTGACCCGGGGTGGGTAAGTGGCCTGTCTCCGGTCATATAGTAAGTTAGTGGCAGAGCCAGGCAGGGGACTTAGGACTCCCGCTCCAGTGTTCCTGGTAGTGGCCCGCATACAAGGTGTAAATGGGCCCTATCCCAGCCAAGATCTCTTCCCCACCCTCTCCCACTGCAAAACACTCGTCTTGTTCAAGTGCAAGGCATCTTCTCGGAAAGGAAATCAGAGCACAACCTTCCTCTGCTGTGCTTTCCCTGGAATAAAATGAATAACATCTGAACTTCTAACCACGGCCCAGCTACAACACACTGCATCTCTACGCAGGGCACAGAAAGGCATCCCTTTCTCTGGGTGGACAGCAGCCACACAGACCTACCAATGTGGCAAACGGGAGCAGTGCCCAACCTCTGCAACTATGGGATGCCCAGTCTGGCCCTCCGGGATCTGCTCCTTGCCTCTCCCTTCAATCTCACATTGCTGCTGCTCCCATGCCGCTTATTATATTTAAACCACACTGTTCTTCCTGTTCTTATTCCCCAAATATGCTAGGCTCTTTCCTGCCCCTGGCTTTTGTCCATGCCGTTTGCTCTGCCTGGAATACTCTTTTTTGCAAGACTGACTCCTCCAGCTTCAAATCTCAACTTGAATGTCACCTCCTCGGAGAGGCATCCCTGATCTGCTCTGAAGTAGTTCTCTCTCCCCACATCCTCTGTAGCTCAAGTCCCCCCACCTTTGTTTTCTCCATAGTACTTTCTCCCAGTTGGTAATTACAGTGATGTCTTTTGTATCTGTCTTTTGCCTTTGCGAGGGCAGGCAGCCCAGCTTTGCTTAAAGTCTCCAGGACCTAACACAGAGTCTGGCACACAACAGGTGCTCAAAAAAGCAAAACAAAACAAAAACAAAACAACAAAACAACAAAACAACAAAAACCCACTGAGTGAGCGTCTCCTTGGAGAGCCAGCCCTGCCTAGGAGTAAGCCCACTTCCCTGCAACTCTTCCCATGTGTGTGTGTGTGTGTGTGTGTGTGTGTGTGTGTAATGAGGCTGCCCCTCCTCTGTTCCACCTGTAGCTGGCATCTGTGGGCCCCTCTCATGAAATCCCTTTGGGCTGGGTGGTGGCTCCTGCCAGGGCACCTGCACCTGGCCACCTGCCTCCTGGGGCCTGGGAAGGGAGGACATTTGATTAAGAAAATGGAGCTTCCCTAAGCACCCTGTTTGAACAGCTGCTCTGCAGCGATGACAAACATCACTCCCAGGGGCTCAGGTCTAAGGTGGGGCCCTCACACCTTTGTTCACAGAGCCCAGGGCTGTCAGGAGACCAGCTGCCTGGGCAGAGCCAAGCGCTTTCCTGGACAGGGGGCTGCGGGGGGCCTTTCTGGTTTTCTCCTAGAGTGGGTTCCCAGCCCCTCCTACCAGCCCGACCCTGACCCCCTGCCTCCCCCCCCCCCCCAAAAAGAGGGGCCCCCGGGGGGGACCCCCCCTCTCAGCTGACAGTGACGGCAGCAGCACAGCAGCCTCCTGCCGTGTAGGTGGTGACAGGGAGTGACTAATGTGCGAGCTGCGGTGCTAAAAATTAACCCAGAGATCGTGTTTGGCGGAGGGGGTGGGGTGGGCGGGAAAGGAGCAGGGACTGGGAATCTTGTGTGGTCGGTATTCCCCCTGCCCTGCTTCCCCTCCTTCCCCTCCCACCAGCCTTCTGCTCTGCTCAAAGCCTGGAGAGGCTGTGGGAGCCTTGCCCCACCCCAGGCCCAAGGGGCCCCCAGTGGTTCAGGGAAGGAGAGTAGACTCCACCCCAGGGGAAGAGAGATCTCATGCACGGTGGCATGAGGACACAGCTCTGCAGATGGGGCTCTGGTCTGTGGTCCCCACCTGGGTCTGTCCCCATCTCCCCAGCATGGAGGCTCCATGTCCCCAGGTCCCCTGGTCCTGCTCCCTCTGCCTGGGCCAATGGCAGTGAGAGAGGCAGAAGCAGCCAGAGCACAGAGGCAGACTCTGGTCCACAGGCAGGAGCTGGTGGGTGGGGTGGGGGCAGCTGCATGGAAAGAAAAGGCTGGGGCAATCTCACCGTGCCAAGCACTTCCACGTCTGTCAGCTCACCTAGGCCCCGCGGTGCATCGGAGAGCTCTGTGTGATAGACGAAGAAACTAAGGCCGAGTGAGGCAGGGAGAGCACAGCCTGCACCTAGCAGGGCCAGGGGCCCTTTGTACCTATACCCTCCAGTCAGGGAAGGGAGGCTTCCTGAAGGAAGAGGGTGTGAAGACGGGGTCACAGAGACGGTGAGGAACGAGCTGAGCCACGTGTAGGTGCTTGAGGGAGACAGGGGCATAGCGGTACAGGAGAGCGGGACCTGAAAGCCACGTCCCCATCCGAGATGTGCCGGGTAGCACGAGGAGTACATGGGGCGCGGGGCATCAAGGTCCTCAGAGAGGTAAGCACAAGCTCTGTGACAGGCAGAGGGCCGGGTTCCTGAGACTTGGTTCTGGGAGCCACAGAAGGGCTGGGGAAAGAGCCTTGCTGGCGGATGTAAGGAAGCCTGTGGGAAGGGGTGAGCCCCAGGATGCTCCCGTTTGCCCTGGGGACCGAACCAGAGAACCGAGGTGAACGGCAGTGGAAGGAGGACAGGTGAGACAGCAGGAACGTTTCCTCTCACCAGGCATCCCCTCGCAGAGCCGAGGAGGGAGGAGGCTGCGGGGTCGCCGAGGTCGGGAGAAATGTCAGCCGGTCTGGCTGCATCGACGGTGGAGGAAACGACCTTCAG